GCTTTTGAATAGTTTGCATATCTAATGTTTCTTTTTGTGTTCTGGATTCTTCTCGCCTTTTATGCAAGTTAAGAAAGATGAATCCATACTCCATTTAAATTGACTCTAAAACTAGAAGTCTATGCCAATGGGATCCTTCTAAACTGTGACAGGAACTTCCCAGGATGCATTTGTGAGGACCTGGCTACATCACACAGGACTTACTAAACATGAAGCTTGGAAAATCAGTGGATATTTGCTGAGTATTAGAAAGCAAAAAGTGGTTTTTCCCAGTTCTCTGCAGACTCCCTTGTAAATGACCAACAAAGGTTTTGGTGTATGCTGCCATGAATTTTAGTGAAATGGGGAAAGGTCCACTTTAAGTTATAAAGAACTAAGCACGGTTGTTATCCTTTTTGTCTTCACCGCCTGGTTACTATTTATTTTTGAACCGCCATCTTCCCTGGCTGGAAATCTGTGACACAGCACCGTAATATGCTAGCACCATCATCAAGTCCCACTGAAAGTGTTACTAAACCCAGGAGCCTGCATTCACTATATCTGTTCTCCCACAGTACACACAACATGGAAATGCAATTATTTTAGTAAATATAAATTGCTAAATACCTTCTCATCAGCAGTTAGAGCAGTCTTGTGACTTCTATCAGTGTCCAGCCAAGCACATGTTAAAGCGGAGTTCCAGCCATTTTTGTGTTTATTAAAAAGGCAGCAGCTACAAAAAAACTGTAGCTGATGACTTTTAATAAACAAACACTTACCTGTCCCAGAGTCCACCGATGTTCTCACCCACACCATCCCTTCTCCCCTTCTCTCCTCCACGGCGCCAGCATCTCAACTGTGGGTACCAGGCTGTAACAGTTTGCGGCTTCATAGCCTGGTGCCCACTGCACATGCGCAAGTCGTGCTGTGCCTCTTGATTGGTCTGGCAGTCTCCTGGGACCTGTGAAAGTTCAGGCTCACTTTGCCGCAGCGAACTGAGCCAGAAGTGGGAGCGGGTACCTGTCAAAACCAAGTACCCGCTCCCCCCTTCCGCCCAAAAGGTGCCAAATATGGAAGTGGTTGAGGGGGAGGAGGCAAAGAAGTGGAGCTTCAACTTTTGACTGGAACTGTGCTTTAAACCTTGTAGGAGTTTTCATTTTCTTCTAGAAGGATGCAGAACCCTTGACTTCTGTCTGGACAGTTCTGATTGGCCTTGTGCTGATCACATGCATTCTCCCAAGAAGAAAAAAAACCTCTCTAGCAATACACACCAAACAGAGCATGTGCAGAGTGACTCCACACAATATGTCTTATCAGGAGATAAGAGGGAGGCATTGGAAGAAGGGGAGGATCAGAAAAGAGAGGATCTACCAGTGTTTTTACACATTGCAGAGGATTAACCTCTTAGGTTCCACAGTGAGTATAACAAACATGCTTTACTACATACACAGACTGATTTTACTGTTGTGGGCTTGAAGTGGTTGACAGCTGGCCCAGTCACCTGTTCTGTTTCCTCACAGCCTGCCTACCTGTAGGATGAAGCCCCCTGGAAGGAGGCAGGTGAGGGGCGCAGGCACAGTTTTTCTGTGTGTGTATATATATATATATATATATATATATATATAGGAGAGGACAGTTGATGGCTGCTGAAACATTGACAATGGAAAAAAATATGTTAGAATCATGTAATGTATGATGAAATATCAGAAGCAAGTGTCACTTTCCCAATGCAGTGTCCCCTGTTTGGGTTGTGTGTCATGTCTAATAGGAAAAGGCTCGCTATATTCAGTGTCCATGCAATTGGCTGTGATGAGGATATTGCATGTTATATGTTAGCATCTTGAATCCTAGTCAGACTACTCTCCCACCAGTCATTTAGTGAGGAAATGTGATAAGGAATTGTTCTCCACACAAATATCCATAACTTTCTTTGACAGAAACAGAGCATTGTGGCAGTGGACTTAATACTGGCAATTCAAGAGCACAGGGTGCAGTAACATGTGGTCACAAGATCATGGCGCTATTTTTACCCTTGATACATATCTGGCTTGAGCCCATGAATAATTCTGGGTATTTTTCTTAAAGGCTCACACCCCTTCTCAAGGTATACAACTTTCTGATTGTTTGCAGTATATCAAGCGCCAAACGGAAGGGAGGTTGTCTTTGTGGCTGCGGGCAAATTTTTCTAATCAGGACTGAGTTTGCACTATATGCAAGGTCAATTATAGACATGGGAAAAGATGGTGCCTTCTGCTCTTTTTGCAGATCCCACAACACCTTCCTATTCCATCTCCTAGCACAATGTTTGGACTCCATTATCATAAACCCAAATATTCCATCAAGGTGTCTCCTTATTATCCCTAATGTCATGCTTTTACCTACAAGAATAGAAAGACCCAGAGAATAGATTGCTTGCTCCTGGTGGTTCCATAAAGATCCTACTGATTAGAAGTTGGAAGCAGTTCTCATTCTGTTTATCCTCTTTTTGCACTTATTGATTGCGCTAACCAGATATTTTTTCTGTGTGACATGCCAGACAATTGATGTCTTTGTTCTGTCCAGGGCGCTATGGCTTAAGTTCATATCGGAGGAGCAAGGGTATGAGAAGACCGTGTTATGTTTTTCATTCATGGAGCATCATCTTTTCAGCTATTAATTTTTGGCCTATTCCTTTGGTCTTGCTTCAACCCTGAGAGTGTTCACAAAGGTCCACACTAGGGATGGGCCGACAATTTGAATCAAACATAAGTTCAACTCGAACACTGGCCGTTCGAGTGTTCATTGAACAATAAGGGCATTCGGCAGGAAGTTTGCCTGTGCACGCAAACAATGTAAAACATGCTTTGTGGTTAGTCAAAGCATTGCACCTGACCACATTCTAATCAATGATGGGAGAGTCGTGTGAGAAATATACAAGCTGTGACCTGGAAAGAAAAGAAAATTCTTGGCCACGAAAATTAGTTTCTGTAGCAACATGTGAAATTGAAGGCTTTGTAATGAATCGATTTACAAAATGTACGAAATTTCTGATTTTCTAAAACAAATTTGTTTGGAATTCGACCCATATATGGCCTGCATAAGAGAGGGTAAGCAGCCTGTGTCCACACTGAAAAGTGGAGGTTGAGGACATGGTGTATCCTCTGAAGGAAGGGCACACTTGTCCTTTTTTTCTGGTGCTGGCCTTATTATTGAGCCACAACATGCAGAAAAAGTGGTGGAGTGGATAACTCAGCCATGCTCATCCTCCTCATCCTCTGTCACCCAGACTCATACTATTTTGCCTACCATCACAGCTGCCAAAGCAGCCTATTCCACAGGCTCCGTTTCCACCATAGCTGTTCCTTCCATAGTCCCACCATCATGCATGGAGAAGTCACCAGAATTATTTTATCACAGTGTCCATTATATGCAGCTGGAGGATGCGCAGCCATTTGAATGGTCAGGGGAGCTTGGCTTCTTTCCCCACGCTAGTGGCTGCTGATTAAAGGATGCATGCACTGTCCTGTCACCATTTAAGGAGGCCACAAGGATGGTGAGCTGCGACAATGCATGCACCAGTGACACTATCCCTCCCACTATCCCCTTTTTGCTGGAATCATGGACAGGACACTTGAGGCCCAGTTTTTCTGTACCAGTTTTACAGGCGCATCTAAATTTAAATTTTTCACCATTTTTTCTCTAATTAACAATTTTTAACTGCAGGGCCCATTCCTGCGCCCAGCAATAGTAACTGTGAGGAGTTACAGTGTTCAGGCACCACCAAAACCCAAGGCCCAATTTTTCTGCACTTGTATTACAGGTGTATTACGGACAGTACTCAATTGTTTCTGTCGCAAATGCACTAATACAGCTACAATCAACTCAAACAAAATGGAAGGTATTACACGTGCATATTATTAGCATTTTTAGAACAAGGTCTAATCCTGCACTCATCAAGAATAACACAGAAGGGTTACGGTGTGAAGGCACCACCAACTGTTCACAACCAAACACCCCACAATGCACTGCGCTCTCACAGTGAACTGTATCCAGCCCACACTATATAAGACAGAGGGGAGAATACTCTCCCCCAAAAAAACCCCAATTAAATAAAAAATAATCATTTAAAAAAATAATATAAGCAAACAATACATTAAAAACAAATCTGGTATAAAAATTGGGGGTGGGGGGACCTCACACTGTTTTTTTTTTAATATACATATCATTTGAAAAAAAAAATGGCAATCCTGCTGCAGCATATACATTGTACAGATGTGCAATTTTGCAGGTAGTTTAAAGGGGACACGCCAGGCATGATATTTAAAAGAATTTATGAAAAAAATGTTTTTCTTACTTTAAGCAATGAAAAATGAAAAAATGACTGCCCCTTTACCCAAAAAATGGTACTTTTTGAAAAACATTTTTTCCCTGATTCATTTCCCTCAGGGCAGTACCCGAGTCCCCATAACAAGGAAGCAAGGGGAGGGGAGAATAGATCCACTTTAAAGATTAAAATAAGACACAAAATGCTTTCTTTTATTCTTTGTTAGGTTACATTAGGTTAGATAATCAGCCAAAGCACTGAGATGTTATGTTATGGATATATTTCATACTTTAGTTTATGTACTGTTGGGTGAAACAGTTACAGCTGGTTTAGTCAGTCAGCTAAAGAGTAAGATTTTACAGCATGGATTTTAATTTGTAGTTATGAAATTATTTCAGGTTCAAAACTTCATATCATTTCACTTGAATTGTTAGGGGAAACAGGTAACAAAGTTTAGATAATCAGCTACAGGCATGAGGGGTTATGTTATGGATATATCATACATCATTTTAACATTAATGCTTTATTTGGCATACTGTTGAAAGAAATGGTTACAACAGATTTAGTCAGTCAGTTAAATAGTAAGATTTTTTTATCATGGATTTTACTTGTAGTGTTGAAAATATTTCAGGTTCAAAACTTCATATCATTTCACTTGAATTGTGAACCTTCAGAATAAACTGCTGAACATGACACCAATACAAAGCAGTCTTCCATGTTAGAATAATAGGATTGTTCGGATGCTTTTAAATAAAAAAAAAGGTTTGTAAATTAACAATAGGCATACATTTAGAAAACATTGCACATAATTATATTTTTCTTGCATTTTTTTATTTGCATGTGTAACACTGAAATGTCTCTTTTGATTTAGAGTTTTGACAGTAGATGATGGATGTTTTGTGTGCTTTAGAAGTGCTGAGTATACCCTCATCTATCAGCACTAGAAATTAATGTTTGGATAAAGTGTAGCCTACATGAAAATCTGTGTGCAGCCAAATGATTGGGTAAGAATGGAGAGTGAGAAAAACACTGGTTGCAGCTGCTCTCTGAACTAGTTAACAGCTATATCAGCAAGGGCAGGGAGCTGATGACCAGGAATAGTTCAATAGAGTCAGGCAGCACTACATTGTGAGAACTGTAGTCCAGAGGAGAGAGACTCTACTGTAATCAAGAAGTTTTGAACTGCATTTCCCATAGAAAGATTGCAGAAGGAGGCGAAGGAGCTGAATTTTCTCAGGCTGTACAAGACACAGCTTCCTCTTGCTGAGAGGGAGATCAGAGAGTGTACAATCGTACATCGTTGTCCAGTGTGCATCATCACTACAGCATATCAGCAGTCTGAGCAGGATCCAGAGTGCAGAGAGCCAGAATCACCTGGGTGCACTGCAGAGAGTGGAATAATCTCTGTGTGTGTCCATACAATGAGCTGCAATATCACTGGGACTGGTGAACTACTGCTGTGGGGATTTACTATCTACTACTAGAGAGACTGAGCCCTTTAGGGACTCACCATACAGCTAGCTAGTAGCCTTATTGCTGCCAGCAGGTTTTACTACACTTATTCTCACATGCACCAATGGTACAACTAGGCCCCAACACTAGCTGGCTGAAGAGTTAGGACTAAAGACTGTCCCTTTACAGCTGCTACACAGAGACCTTCATTTATTGCTTATGCTAAAAGAGGTACCTCTGATGGGACATTTTCTTTTTAATTAAAATAACAAACATGTCATACTACCCGCTCTGGGCAGTGGTATTGCACAGAGCAGCCCTGATCCTCCACTTCTGTGGTCCCCCACCAGCGATCTTGTTTCCTCTTCTTCTTTGTGTGTCCCCATAGCAGCCAGCAGGAAAATAATAACTGAATGGATAAGGAGTTAATTAGGGCTAAATGGCGTAACACTAAGGCTTAATGAGGGGTTAAACAGAGGAACATTTATTAAAAAAAAAACTTTTTTTTTTACTTGTCAGGTTGCTTTAAAGGGATTTCATCTGCAGATGAAGTTAAAGTGATTCTAAAAGGGTTTTTTTTTTGGAAATAACAAACATGTCTATACTTACCTGCTGTGTGTAGTGGTTTTGCACAGAGCAGCCTGGATCCTCCTCTTCTCTGGTCCCTTGCAAACTCTCCTGGCCCCTCCCTCCTGTTGGGTGCCCCCACAACAAGCAGCTTGCTATGAGGGCACCCACTGCTCTGTGTGTCCATTCACACACAGAGCCATGGCTTGTCCCCCCACCCCCTCTCTCTCCTCATTGGCTGACTGACTAGAATTGACAGCAGCGGAGCCAATGGCTCCCGCTTACTGTCTCAGCTGATGAGGAGGCAGAGACCCGGAACAGCCGAGGCTGTCATTCATATTGCTGGATCGAATGAGGCTCAGTTAGGTATTGAGGAGGCTGGGGGGGGGGGGGGGGGGGGGGGGGTGCACATACCTAATAGAACATGAAGGTAAAAAAAACCTTCAGCTTTTACAACCACTTTAATCCCTTTGATCTGTAAATGAATAAACAGATACAAAAATGAAACATTGTTTCTTTTGAGCAAAGTTGTTGATAAACATTGCCAGACTGCTTTAGTTTGACAGCTCCAGCTGTCAGAACTTTCTCTGTATACTGGGCAATGCCACTTTGATTAGTCAGAGCTGAATTGCTGAGTACTGGGACAGTGGAGGTCCTTGCAGCAGGGCAGAAGAACTGGACGTGTACACACACCTGTGTACAATGATGACATTTCTTTGTGTGTGTATAACACGTCCAGAGTCTGCAAAACTTTTTTTTTAATGTCATCTACACTGGGAGCTTTTCCTTCACTTCTTTTCATATTGCCAAAACAGAAGTGATTGGAAATTCTTCAAAAGTGAGGGAATCCCAGGGTGTCACCAGAACTGGTGTCCACATTAGAAGATTTCCCCTCTATTAGTGTTCTGATGTCAGCCCAAAATTTGAGATTTTATTTTACTTTCACTTTTGATCATAATGGTAAACAGGAACAAATAGAGAGGGTGAATCCCCCCAACTGGGCACAGGCACCAAAAAACTGACTGACTAATCCATCTCCAATCTATCCAAAACGAAGAAAGAAAAAAAAAAAGTTTTGTTACCTTTATTTATACAGTACTTTAAAGTGTAACTCCACTTTTGTTGAAGAAAAAAAAAAAATATTCTCTCTGGGTGATCTATGTACATTGGAAGGATTTTAACAAAACCTTGTGTAAGGGGGCTCATGTACACAGGGCGTTTGGGAAAACTCTTCTGAACAATGGAAACTGCCTGCTGGAAAATGTAGGTTAAAAAATTCAGTTTAGCCGTGTTTGCATACCACGTTTATGTGCATTTGCATTTAGAAGCGTTTTTAAAAGATACCTCAGGAGACCTTCCCAAATGCCCAGAATGCACTGAAAAATAGTAAATAATTAACTATTTCAGACATTTTAGGAATAGAGAGAGCAGAAGCAAAGGGAGCAGTATGTGCTGAGATCACCTATCTTTTCTGGTTGTATTCACTATGGATCCCATCATGAGCATAATGCAGCATGTTCTACCATTTTTTCCTTCATGCGAAACCTAGAACTGACTGCACTGGTGTACTGGGTCCATTGAATACATGGAAAATGTTTTGCATGCATTTCTGATGATGAAAAAAGGCTCTGGACAGCATCTGGATATGGAACAGTTAAAAAAAAGCTTATAAATGCAAATGTTTATAAATGCGGTTAACCACATTTACATGCGTTTGAAACGCCAGTAAAATCTACTCCTGAATGCAAGTTTGGTGTGTTAAAAAATTTACTGTAAGCTCAACTGCCTGTAAATGACTGTGTACATGGACACATAGGAAAACATTAGGGAGAGTTCAGGGGCTGCTAAATAGAAAATGCTGAACAGCTCCTGAACGTGAGTTTAGGAGCTGCAGTGTACATGAGCCCTTATACAGGCCATAGATGGGTCGAAAAACGGCAGATTTTTCTTTTAAAAAATGAAAAATCGGTCGTTCAAGCGGCCGACGTTACCATCAATGGTAAAAAAAAAAAAAAAAAAAAAAAAAAAAAAAAAAAAAAAAAAAAAAAAAAAAATCGGCCGATTTTCATCCCGTCTACAGCTGGCAAAAAGTGCCCCTGCAGAGAGCTCCGCTATTTCTTTGACAGTTCCTTGACATTTATAGAGGTTGCAACAATGTATCTATTTGTTTCCATTTAGGATACAGATGTTTTTATTCGGAAACAAATAGATACAATGTTGCAACCACTGTAAATGTCAAGGAACTGTCAAAGAAATCTCCTCCTCCTCCCTCCTCCCTCCTCCCTCCCTCCTCCCTCCTTCCTCCTTCCTCCTCCCTCCTTCCTCCTCCCTCCTTCCTCCTCCCTCCTTCCTCCTCCCTCCTTCCTCCTTCCTCCTTCTTCCTCTTCTTCCTCCTCTTCTTCTTTTTGTCTTCCTCTTGCAGGTCACTGCTCATGCGCAGATTTTTTTATCGGTAAAAAAATCGGCCGATTTGCCCACTAATTGCCGCGAAAATCGGCCGATCGGCAAAATCGGACGATTTTTTTTTTTTCCAACTTTACCTGCCAAAATACCGTGCCGAACAAATGAGCCCACTTAACGATCTTAAAAATCGGCCGATTTTATTTTTCCGAAAAATTGGCCGATTTTCGACCCATCTATGGCCTGCATTATTCTTAAGAAATAGAGGTTTGTTTTTCTGTGTCCATGTGCATGGTGAATCTGTATGTGAGTGGTTTTGTACTTAACAATCAGCTGCTGTACCTGCAGGGCTCTAATGAGGAAATTGCAGGGTCCGCATCTCTTTAGACGTGATTTCCTATTGGGAGTATCTCTCCAAAAATAACATTTCTGTTGCAGGGGATGTCTGAAATCTGAGGGTGTACTGCACACATTCTGGTAGCCCTATGCATTGCATTTTACAGAAAATTACAGTGCTGCAGATTGAAAAGGAAATACATTTTATAGTAACATTGAATTACAATATGACATGTGTCACAATTGTATGTTACTTTTTTTTTTATTTGCTATTTTTTTCCCATGAAAGTGGAATTACCCTTTAAGTTTAACATAGAATTGGAGTTCAAATAACAAACACAATTGTTATTGTTACCATATTACCTTTTGCCAGACTCCAAAAGCTCAAAGCCTTCATTAATACGATTAAAAGGCAGTGTATGGCTCACTAATCCATCCACATTAAATTTATTTGCCAAATAGTCAGACACCAGTTTGGGAACGCATTCTTTACTTTTCCAACCTGAAAAATGCAGGCCAGAATTATGTTACATAGTTAGTCTGGCTGAATAAAGACAAAGTCCATCCAGTTCAACCAAAAAATAAAATAAAAAAAATTAAATGTTAATACACAGAATCAGGTATAACGGTATACACATAAACATTATCTCACAATATAATTAGCAGTTTCATAAACAATATTTGACTAACTTTTTTTTTAAAGAGTACAAGTAGCCTCAATAGTCTCCTAATAGCCTAGTAAGAAGACACAAGGCAAGGTTTCCCCTTCTAGGTGGTATCAATTATGGTTAGTGCACCACATAAACAAAAACCTTTTCAGCCAAAATTTCATTAATAGCATGCAAAGATTTTTGTTATAAAAAAGGCAATTATAGCAACATTAAACTAAAAAAACAAAAATATATTATAAGGCTGCTTACAATTTTTGAATGTGGTGGTTGCATTAGTTTATTTTTTTTTGGCTTTTGTTCCATTTATTTTCACCTGGTGATGCATCCAGTAAGAGCTTGTCCACATGGGCAGCCAGGATGGTGAAAGTAGTTGGTTGAGCTGTGCTTTTACAGACCCTCATCTACCTCCTTTAAAGTGGTTGTAAACCTCAGAACTAAAATCCAAACATATTTCTGCAGTGTTTACATGCCTCTCATCAAAGCACTAAGTGTCATTTCTCTCTGCTCTGTAGTTCCTCTGTTATCAGCATAAGTCAAATGGTGACAAGTTTTCCTGGCACCACGAGCTAAAAAAGGTGACAGGGGAGGGATCGCCAGTTGATTGACAGCCTCAGCTCTGTTCCTGTGTGCTGTGTGAAGAGGGGGGATCCCTTCCCTCCAATCAGCACTCAAGAGCTCTTGCACAGTGTATAATTGCAGCCCCCTTCCCCCTGTTTTGTGAGACTGTGAAAAATCATTTTCATCTCTGGGTTTTACAAGGATGTACAGGACAAATGGCTGCAGATAATGAGGTACCGCTTTATGTAGGATTTGTTTAATCTCTGTGTATTACCTGAGGCTAGTCACTGCACTGGGCTATAGGTAAGGGTTTACAACCACTTTAACCACTTGCCCTCCTGAGGATTTACCCCCCTTCCTGACCAGGCCATTTTTTGCGTTACGGCGATGCGTTACTTTAACTGACAATTGCACCTGTGCGTTTTTATTTCTTGCACTATAAAAAAAAAGACCAAAAATTTTGAGAAAAAAACAATATTTTTGCTATTAAACATGTCCAGTACAAAAAATTTGAAAAATCAAATTTCATCATAAATTTATGCCAAAATGTTCTGCTACATGCCTTTGCTAAAAAAAAATCCCAATATGTGTAAATTAACTGGTTTATGTGAAAGTTATAGCGTTTACAAATGGTGGTATATATACTGAAAAAAATTTTTTTACTGGTAACGGTGGCGACCAGTGACTTATAGCAGGACAGTGGGACTGTGGCGGACATTCTGACACTGGGGGGAACTGACTTGGTGTCACTGTCATCCCCAGTGACACCAATACAGTGATCAGTGCTAAAAAAAAAAAAGCACTGACACTGTACTAATAGCACTGGGCAGGAAGGGGTTAACATGAGGGGCAATCAAAGGGTTAACTGTGTGCAGGGAGTGTTTTACTATAGAGCAGTGTCTGTGTGCTTCACTGTAAGTACACTGTTTGGATGGCTGTGCTGTACACAGCCATCCAAACCAGTGTCCCGAGTTGACAGGGAAGAGAACTGTTACTAAACAAAACAGTTCTCCTCCCTGTCAGAGAGTCTCGGTAATCACCAGGCTCCTGCAAGCGCCCTCTACCCGGAAATGCAAAATAACGTGTATATATACACGTGATTTTGTGCACCCGTGCCACCCTGTAGCAGTATTTCTGCTATAGGGCGGTTGGGAAGCAGTTAAGATGCAACGAAGGCTGAAAAGGGTTGTTCACATGCAACTGATCCAGCTACAATTATGCCACACACCACTTTCCCACAGCAATATTTAGCTAAGTGGGGCCGTGCCACAATCACTTAGCAACCAGATTTAATGCATGCCGTTGCACAGTGATCCTGGCTTTTTAGGGTTAAAATAGGTGGTGAAATCAAATCACAAAATAAAAAAAAAATAAAGACAAATCACTTCCAAGATGCCTTCAAAGCACCACAGAAGACTTTTTTTTTTTGGGGGGGGGGGGGGGCAGCAAGGGCTGCCACAAGTGTGAACTAGCCCTAAGCCTGCTTTTTTAACTTCCTTTAACAGACCAAGCTGCCCATTAAAAGTAGCAGTTTACCACTAACAGGGGTGATTACAATGGTCACCTTTTATTCATTTATGTAAAACCTTTATCTCAAAAAGGGACAAAAATGCTTCTGTAACAACTTAAAAAGTGTGTAGCTTTAGTTTGTTAGTCAAGTCCATTTAAAACTGCCATTGCTTCTAATATTACCCTCTCCACAGACTGGCAATGCAGATGTCCAAAAGGTGTCTCTGCTGCTTCTCCATCCAGAGCCACTCTAAGACAGGAAAGTGTCTTACTGGTTGGATTACCAGGTGAAAATTAAGGGGAGAAAAGCCTAAAAAAATGAAACCAATGCAGTCACCACATTTAAGGATTGGTAAGCTGCAATATATTACTTTTTTGAGGGTGGGTTTAATACCACTTTAAGGGTGATAAGGGGAATTTGCATGTATAACGACTTGATCAGCTAATGCTGCACATTGTGGAACACTGTTGAGAAACGTATGTGTGTCGTATTTGGATGTAAAGAGCAGCGCAAGGCAGGAAAGATTCATGTCAATCAACAACAGAAAGGAAATTTGGGATTTAATAGCTAACCCAGAAAACTAAAAAAAAATACAAGCTTTGGAGTCATATCTGGTTTCCATATGAAGTATGATAAACCTTGTGAAGAAATGGCCTGGGTTGAGGGGTCACATGCCATTTGTCCCCAAGGGTAGCTTTCTTATTTAATATACTAGGCTTGCCTCTGGTAACCCAAAGCAGAACTGGCCACTAGTGGCAATATACTAGGCTTGCCTCTGGTAACCCAAAGTAGAACTGGCCGCTAGTGGCAATATACTAGGCTTGCCTCTGGTAACCCAAAGTAGAACTGGCCGCTAGTGGCAATATTCTAAGTTTGCCTCTGGTAACCCAAAGTAGAGCTGGCCGCTAGTGGCAATATATTAAGCTTGCCTCTGGTAACCCAAAGTAGAACTGGCCGCTAGTGGCATTATACTAAGCTTGCCTCTGGTAACCCAAAGTAGAACTGGCCGCTAGTGGCAATATACTAGGCTTGCCTCTGGTAACCCAAAGTAGAACTGGCTGCTAGTGGCAATATACTAGGCTTGCCTCTGGTAACCCAAAGTAGAGCTGGCCGCTAGTGGCAATATTCTAAGTTTGCCTCTGGTAACCCAAAGTAGAACTGTCCGCTAGTGGCAATATACTAAGATTGCCTCTGGTAACCTAAACGTAGAACTGGCCGCTAGTGGCAATATACTAGGCTTGCCTCTGGTAACCCAAAGTAGAACTGGCAGCTAGTGGCAATATTCTAAGTTTGCCTCTGGTAACCCAAAATAGAGCTGGCCGCTAGTGGCAATATACTAGGCTTGCCTCTGGTAACCCAAAGTAGAACTGGCTGCTAGTGGTTCATACTTGAAATAATTTCCCCCTTTCAAACTTTTGTTATTAAATGCTGGGCTTGCATGTAATAACAGCCACTGATTGGAATAAACTTGTACCTGCTCTGTCTTTGATTATAGAGTTTTGTCATGAAAATCCTTCAGTATTGACTATTTCTCCAGCATGCTGCAATAGGTCATGTGACCGGTAAGTACAACAAATCTCTATGAGCAAGGAGGAGAGCGTAACGGGTAGTCTGTCCCAATCTGTAGCTGCTATTTTATGCAGGTCCTACTTTAAAACTGGCCTGAAAGGCTCTGTGACTGGTGGCCTGTTCTGAGAGAGGTCACTCTCTGCAAGCGTAAGAATCTTTCCATAGGTAAAAGTTATTTTTTTTGTTTATTCTCTAGAAGAAACAAGGAATTTGGATAGTCACTATGGCAGAGCTCTAACTACAGTATTTTTGAAGAGCTTTCTCCTCTCCCATAATAAACTGGTCCTATTTGTGACCAACCATAATTCTATTCACCCAAGAATACACTGCAAACCAAAACAAACACTGTATTTTCTATGTATGTGTTAACTTTGCTTTGATACCTCCAAAAATACAGCCTTTCCATGTACGTCCTGTAAAGAGTAGATAGGGATCAAATGTAATGTGGGAATTTGCTGGGGCACCTCCTATAATTACACTGATCCCATATCCTAGTTGTGTACACTCCAGGGCAGATTTCTGCATCAGAAACAAAAAAACACAAACAATAATTGAAATTATTCAGAGCTTCCATATTCAATTATAATCACTGAAAATTCTATACATACAATAAATAAAAGCACAAGAAAAAACAAGAAAAAATTAGGACATTCAAAAAAGGAGTGGCAAATATCAGAAACAAAATGAATGCAGGGAGGGCATGCCAAGGGATAGACTGGTAATTCATGGGGAAGATGAAAAATGTATCAGTGACACAGAATGAAAGATGTTAGATGCTGCAAGAAATACTCATACAAGTACAACTTTCATCTGTGCTAAACAACGTAGATGGACATATCTCCCACCACAGCTAGTGTATTTTGAGTGATGGCCCCGCTGGTTGTGAAAGTCCCCAAATAGTGGCTGTATCTGATTGGAAGCAGCCACTGTTTGGTAATAGTCTTCCACCCAATTACTTAAATTTTTTAGTTGAAGGATGTTGGGTGGGTGGAGGAAAAAAGGGCCCTCCACTAAGAGAATTTCATCTAGTTTCTGGGGATCAGGACAAAATTCGTACAGTGTATGGCCAGCATTAGAGTGGGGTCAGTCCGAAACCTAAGAAACAAGCATTTTCAGAAGTACAGTTCAGAAATGTCATCTGCCATTTTCTTTCCTTTAGGGGAGGTAACTAAAGTGGCAGGGCTCCACAGCTAATGAGTGGGATTTATAAAATTAACACTTTGGGCTCATTATATATTCTCTTGGCTTATACTTTATGTGCTTATGATAGTTTTAACTATGTAATGCATGGGTGTCAAACTGGTGGCCCTCCAGCTGTTGCCAAACTACAAGTCCCATGAGGCATTGCAAGATTGACAGTTACAAGCATGACTCCCAAAAGGTAGAGGCATGATGGGACTAGTTTCATAACAGCTGGAGGGCCACCAGTATGACACCCCTGATGTAAAGAAAGGATCAGGTTAATTTTGTTATGTATTATTGTTATTGAAACCTCCTCTACATACACTAGCTTGGAATTTATCTTTAGCAATTTTTTTATGTCAACTGTGCCCAATCTAAACATGGCAACCTGGAAACAGAACATTCCAGATAGTATTAGACTATGTAACAGGGTTAGCTTGGCAGCGGGTGTGTGTGACCCCCTGGATGGGTGCACAACACAAAAAGACAGGCACAGCACAACAGTGGAGGTGAAAACAAACAGGTGCAATTTATTTACAATATTTACAAAAAAATGGTAAACCAAAAAGAAACATCAAAATAAATCCTGGCCAACTTGGCTACTTACTGTAACAACCGCTTTCCCTAGCTACCCACTAGGTACAGCCTGCTGCTATACCTAGTTGCTAGTACTTAAAGGCTAGCCACACAGGCTTTGGTCTCTCTGCACACAGATAACAGTTCAGCTCCCCAGACAGTTTAGGCACAGATCTGGTTCCAGGGTGGAGCAACTCCCTAAGCACTCTGGGAAGTTTTATACAGGTGGTAATGAGCCCACTACCTTCAGCTGGGCTCATTACCTCAGTGCTGAAGGACTCAGCACTTCCCTCTAGTGGTACAAATCCCCATAAAGCCTGAACCTCGGACAAATATATCGTCCATCCAGGACGCAACCAGGTGATTTCACCTGCCTACTGTCACAACAAGAACATTTCAGAAAGCATTATGATAAGTAACCTTCCCTCTACTGATGGCAAAGCCAAAATCAACAACTTGTGAAATGTCTAGATGAATAATGGTATGAGTATCCTAAAAGTTGATGTTTTTTTAGTAAATAATCAGACAGAACGATGGCAACCTTTAAAGTGACATACCATAATATCTGTACTGCCGATGCATTCAAAGGAATAATGCACTCCATGTCCTGTCATTTCTATGATCACCTCCTGGATTGGCTTGCTAAAATCTTTAGGATTGATGCAATCAGTGGCTCCAAACAGCTTTGCCTTTTCAAACTTGCTGCTGTTTATATCTATAGCAATAATTCTTGATGCACCAGAAACTTTACATCCAATAATGGCTGACAATCCAATGGCACCCAATCCAAACACAGCACAAGTAGTACCAGGCTCCACCTGTACAATTACAAAGCACGGTTAACTAACTGTAACAATAATCTCAGATATTAACACTAAAATTCTGCCCCTGGGGATACATATTCAAATATCTGCAAGTATTGCAAACAAGTTACACTTGTTATTAACATTCAGTGAAGGAGTTAACACATACCTAAATCCTATGCTCACTCTGCTAAATCCATGGAGAAAACCATGTTTACCGCTAAACTGCTATACTGATTTGAGATACTAACCCTTTCTCCACTCCCCATCTCCATTAAATAGGGAGGTATTCTTTTGTAGCTGACAGAAGATAGTTAAAAGATTGTTTGATATGTCAATTCAGTGCACAGGAAGGTATAAACAGGTATATTTTGTATTTACAAAAAGTGCCCTTAATTGAAAAAGGAAAACTAATGCATCCATTGTGTATACAAACTGGTAATCTGCAATATATTAAATGTATGTTTTTGGATTTAGATATACTTTAACAAAACAATACCAAGCAAAAGCAGCAAAGTGTATTTTATTGCTCACAAAGAATTCTCAATATGCTGGAAAATCTCTAAAGCTATTTAAAGTTATATAACCCATCCTCTACAAAGTATGCCTAACATTTGTGCTAAAGCATGAACAGAAAAAATGCAAAGAGATGGGACCTGTTGGTTTTAAGGGAAGTAAAAACATTCAATTTTTTTTCTCATTCATTCAGGGACACAGGAATTCATATACAATCTGGAATTTCAGAATCAGCCCCACTGAGGGTTGGGTAACACAGCAGAAAACCACTACAGGCCTTGCTAGGAGGACTAGGGACCGCCTGCAACCCAGGAGCCATCTAAAAGACAAATACACAAATGTGTAGGAATAATGTGAATCCCTCTCACCAGATAGGGAGACCTGACAACACAACAAGGTGATGTGAAGAATTTCACATAGAATTCGAGCCAGCAAGAAGCTAAATAATCAGAACCCACTAAAAACAGGTAGACCACCAACAAACACCCAATAGGGAGGAAGGGACCAACAGCCCAATGTGGTCATCATAACAGCACATTGGTGGTAATGCCCAGGGTGGAACTAGTTTTAAGGAAATTTAACACAAAATAAGGATTCAGGTAAAGGACTGTCCAGTCCACATGGAAAGACTAAAGGCTTGTCATCTCTACTCCTTAAAACCAGGGGTATAGAACTAGGTGACTGTCTAATCAGACAACCAAGCTTAGTAAGCAAGAGAAACCAAAAATGTATGGTATAGTACATCTTAATAGACCCTGAAAGGGCGAGAAGACCCCTGAACTCTTAGAGAACTCAAGGGTTTGATTCCGCAAAGTTAACATGATGAAGAGAAGAGGGTAGCAGAAGACAGCACCATAAGGATTGGCAAAAAAATACATTTAGTTCATAGCCCCAGACCTGCGAGATGGGGACCGTCGAGGGGCAGCGAGGATCAAAAGACTGATTAACATATTCTGTGATACCACAGGGCCTGCAGAAGAAAATGTTGTGGTACTGCTTTCCACTTTACCACAGCTATGGTTCCCGAAAGCTTCCGATTCTCTAAAATCCAATGAAGCATCAACAACTCCAACCTTGTGGTGTGGCACCGACTTCATGTGCGACTTGCATAGACATCTGTGCATGAAGTTGCACAGATGTCAGGCAAGTCACACATGAAATCGCAATGACCAGTGGCTTTGAAATTGTGCTACTTCAAGTGAAGTAGCTTGATTTCAAAGCCGCATTCAGTGTGAACCCGGGCTGAGTCTAATAGAGGCTAATGTAGCTTATTATTTATAGGCCAGATGTCTGGCAGACAAGTTAGCTTTGAGGAAAGGGGTATAGCCCTAAAAATGCCTTAGACCTTTAGTCTGCCGTTAAGTATCATCTACATAGGTCCTCCCATTGAACATCCAGGTTCTGGTGTATCCAAGGACTGACATTTATGTTATGTTCAAATCTATGACTACACAGCTATCAATAAAAAGGCACCAATGGTAATGTACAAGGCTGCTGCACCCTTCTTGTTGTTTTATTATTTATTTTTTATTCAAAGATTTCCCTGATCTGAAGAGGGAAGCAAGGCCTGAAGCTTACCTGGGTGCTATGCTGTATTGTGGAGCCATCAGATTCTCCTGCTCCAGGACTGGTACATATTGCCTCATATCACTCTAGCACTGATGTGTTATTTCGCTTCTTCATTCTATATTCCAGCTCATGTCAAAAGTACAGGTATCCATTCCTTCAAGCACATTCCTCCCTCAATAACATTAGGCCATTTTTGATGCCAATATTCAACAAGAAATCTAAGGTGGTAGAGTCTGTCCTACCACTACTAAGAAAAGAGGTAAAGCATCACAAGAGATTCACATTTTTACTCTTTTTATGTTGATTTACTAACCCATGTGTATGGGATGGATTTACCACAGTTAATTAGACTGTGCACAGTGCAGTTGCAGTTGTACATATTTTCCCCAAAGCTTATTGAATATAGTGAAGCTTCACTTTGTAAGAATACCCAATCAGGTGCAAGGAAAATAAAAAAAACTGAATTTATGCTTGCATATGATGGATGAAGCTAATTCACTAACCTCTGAGGAAAATGAGTGCAAGTGCACTTGGAAAGTGCACAGTCTATTTGCCTTTAATAAATCAACCCCTTTGTGTGTACACGTGTACACACACACACACACACACACACACACACACACACACACACACACACACACACACACACACACACACTATTGAAAAGAGTATAGAGACATGCCAACAAATCACTGGATTAAGGTGTTCCAATCACCTCCATGGTCACAGGTGTATAAAATCAAGCACCTAGGCATGCAGACTGCTTCTACAAATCTTTCTGAAAGAATGGGTCATTCTCAGGAGCTCAGTCAATTCAAGCATGGTACCGTGATAGGTTGTCACCTGTGCAATAAGTCCATCCGTGAAATTTCCTTGCTATTAAATATTCCACAGTCCACTTTTAGTGGTATCATAACAAAGTGGAAGCAACTGGGAGCAACAGCAACTCAGCCACAAAATGGTAGGCCATGTAAAATTACAGAGTGGTGTCAGCGCATTCTGAAGCATACAGTGAGCAGAAGTCACCAACCGTCTGCAGAGTCAATAGCTAAAGACCTCCAAATTTTGTGTGACCTTCAGATTAGCACAACAACAGTGCATTGAGAGCTCGTAGTATGGCATTCCATGGCCGAGCAGTTGCATCCAAGCCTTACATCACCAAGTGCAAAATGAAAGCGTTGGATGCAATGGTGTAAAGCACACTGCCAATGGGGTCTAGAGCAGTGGAGATGTGTTCTCTGAAGTGACAAATCACGCTTCTCTGTCTGGCAATCTGATGGATGTGTCTGTCTTTAGTGGTTGCCAGGAGAACAGTACTTGCCTGACTGCATTGTGCCAAGTGTAAAGTTTGGTGGAAGGGGGATTATGGTGTGGGGTTGTTTTTCAGGGGTTGGGCTTGGCCCCATAATTCTAGTGAAGGGAACTTTTAAGGCTTCAGCATATCAAGACATTTTTGACAATTTCATGCTCCCAACTTTGTCGGAACAGTTTGGGGATGGCCTCTTCCTGTTCTAACATGACTGCACACCAGTGCACAAAGCAAGGTCCATAGAGACATGAATGAGTGAGTTTGGGGTGGAGGAACTTGACTGGCTTGTACAGAGTCCTGACTTCAACCCGATAGAGCACCTTTGGGATGAATTAGGGTGGAGACTGAAAGCCAGGCCTTCTCGTGTGACATTAGTGCCTGACCTCACAAATGCGCTTCTGGAAGAATGGTTAAACATTCCCAGAAGAATTGAAGTTGTTATAGCTGCAAAGGGTGGGCCAACTCATTGAACCCTACGGACTAACACTGGGAGGCCATTAAGGTCCATGTGTGTGTAAAGGCAGGTGTCCCAATACTTTTGGTATTATAGTGTAATATATATATATATATATATATATATATATATATATATATATATATATACATACATACATACATACATATACACACACACACACACACACACACACACACACCCAGGCTCGCAAAATTAATTTTCTCCCAGCTAGGCATAGATTCCCTGAGAGCATTTCAAAAACATTTGTCTAGGTAGGAGTGTCCAGATAGTATGTATTTTGTTATGCTATTTCATTACATGTGAAAGTCAAGATTTCACCTAATGATGTGACAATAAATGACAAGGTAAAGAAATGAAGAATTGCTGGCTGGTTTCCCTCCTCTATACAACTATTTTTTCATTCTAAATAAAATACATCCTAGTATGCATGCACTGCAGCATAAGGTACATGCATGCGTATTAAAAGTCTTTGTCATTGCAACTTACCACTGTGGAATTACATTTTTACCAACTTACACAGTAGTTCCTATTTGAAGGTAGACACAGAAAGCAGAAATTATTAACAATGTTATGAAAGTGAAAGACAAAACTGCTTAACTTGGCAATGTTGATAGCAGCTCCATATCCAGTAGGAAAACCGCATCCAAAAAGGCAAGCCTTGTCCATTGGAGCTTTGTCATCAATTTTTGCAACAGCATCAACAGGCACTACAGTGTATTCCGAAAAGGTGCTTGTCCACAAAAAATGTAGGTAGACCACTTTCCCCTTGCATGAAAACCTGGTTGTCTTGTCAGGCATTGTATTTTGAGGTTCACTGATGCTGTATTGGAATGACAGCAGGAGGAAAAATAACAAAGCAGATACATTTAAACATTTCAACACTGAAAAAATAGTTTTTTAAAGTTACACGTTAATAATGGAGCAAGGCTATCTTTATTATTGATTGGACCCTGGCCAAACATTTTCTTGGGCCCCCTTGCAATTTCACTCTCCACCTGCTCTGAGACATACAATTAATAGCAGTTAGACTCAAAATCGGTTTACTGCAGAAGATCAAGCAGCGATTGTGATTAGTTGCCTGGAGGGTACAGCATATCATTACCTCTCACTGACTGGTGGCTAGAAGCTACAGCACACATTATGGTTCACTGATTAGTTGCTAGAGGTTACAGCACATCATTACCACTCACTGATTGGCTGCTAGAGGTTACTGCACATCATTACTGTTCACTGATTGGTTGCTAGAGGTCACCGCCCATCATTATTGCTTACTGATTGATTGATTGACTGATTGATTGAGATTACAGCAGATCGCTATTGTTCACTGATTGATTGCTAGAGGTTACTGCACATCATTACCACTCACTGGTTGCTAGAGGTTACTGAACATTATTACTGGTCACTTATTGGTTGCTATTGGTTACTGTGCATCACTGTACTGACATGGTCTGCACACGCAAGTCATCTGTACATGGCAATAGGGCAGAGCTGGGCAGCATAAGTGACAGCACTTCACACAGATATCAGGACATAGCGAAGAGCAAAGACTTCAAGAGCCAAGGAAATGTAAATTGGGACAGTTGGCAAGTATGGAGCAGCTGTTTTGGGCCCCTCAGCAATGACTGGGCCCAGGGAAGCTGCCCCTTTTGCCCCTCCTTAAAGATGGACCTGTAATCAAGCCATTTTCCTCTACACAAGAAAACAAGCGGGCTGATGTATATAAACTATGGGGAAAAAAAAACAGATACTCTAATATGTCCTTCCGCTCGCCATCCTGGCAGTATTTATCATGGGCCCAGACTCCAAGGTGGAGAAGGAAAGCTTTTTAAACAACACATTGTAAATGCATTGCATGTACAAACCTTCTTGTAAAAACTAAAGTCACATCAGCTACATTCTTTTCTTGCCTTCACAGTACTTGAATGAAGCCAAACACGTTGTAGATGGCAAGCCACATTTTGTCCATTTTTACCATTTTCTAGGCTAGTAAAGCTCAGTCAGTTATATAACTATTTATGTTTGAATGTACACTTATCTTCTCAGTTAATTGCTGTGCAGGGGGTGTCAGCAAAAGTCTGATCACTAGAAGACAGGCTTGTCTAGCGTGGTTCAACACAAGTAAATGGTACAGCAGGCACATATCAGGAATATGAAATGTTGGGGTAACATATTCTTTAAGATGTTTGGGGTGGCAATTTTTCCAGTCCCACAATCTACGTTATATATAGGGATTTGCTTCTGAAAAGTAATTTCTAGTTTTTTTTTAAATCCCCTTTGATGCTTTTTTTTCTTGGTGGTGGGACAAAATCTATAAACACAACATCAAGGACCAAACAATCCAGAAAATGTTGTGCCTCAATCCCTTCCACCATGTCAAGCAGACAGCACAATTTACACAGTGTATACAAGAAATATTTATTTTGTATCATAGGGAGAAGTTTTCTTTGATCATATCTGTTCTTAGTGAGTGGACATACACAGGTCATGGGTACGACTGGTAGAGGCATGAAGCTTCCATAAATACCTATACTGCACTGGGTGTATAATTTCTGAGGGGTATAACCTTTTCTTTAATCACCCTGTAATAATAAATACATATTAGTAATTATACTGACTGACTGACTGTTTCAGTAGAGTAACAGAAAAAGAAAAACGTACTGTGTTTTGAGGCAGCAGTTGGTGTGTGGATTTAAACAAGAGCAGCATTGTCCACACTGAGGAATACACAATGGAATTACTTTATCTCCTAAAGAAAAAAAATACATAAATGCATTAATTAATGAGCTTTGTTTTTTAATGTATTTTTTTTCTTGATTGGTGCAACATAAGCACTCATGTCTGTGTCATTCCTTGCTATTTGGAAGTTGATTGATTTTGATCAGATTTCAACCATACTTAGGTGTTTCTTTTACCCATATAGAGGGTGATTAACACCAGATAAGGTTTAAAATTAACTTGTTTGTTCGGCCAGCTGATATCTGATAACAGCTACCCAAAGACACAAATGGCTGTGTGCTGCTGCCCTCCAGTATATGCAGGGCTTTTATAAACACAAGTATAGCATAAGGGCGTAGGCAAAAAAAGAGAAAATATTCAGTTTTTTTGCATACTCCTGAGCATTAGTGTTCATGCACACTTGACATTTTTACAGCAGCTGTTTTTGGTTTTTGACATTTTTTTCTACAGCCAGTAAACCCCTCAGCATGTTATCCTATGTGTCCATGCGCACACAGACTGTAATCAACGTTTTTTGGTTGGGACATTTTTTGGCTGGAAAAAAACCCCAGGACTGCTAGGTTTCTAGAGGAGATTTTTAACTGTAAAAAATGCTCTAATGCTGAAAAACGTGGTGAAACGCTGCAAACTGGTGTTTTTTTGGACATTTTTTGTCTCACGTTTTTAATATGACTTTACACAGCTAATGTTACCAGCGTTATGAAAACGCCCAGTGTGCATGGAGCCTTATACTTGTGTTTATGATAGCACCAGCATATACCCGAAGTCAGCTGCATACAGCCATTTTTGTCCATGTTGAGGCTGTACACAGCACCTGGGCAGGAAAGAGACACCCGAATTCACATTGCATGTCTAAACCGCATGTGTGCAAGAGGCCTAAATGTTCTTCCATTTACATTCCTTTACATGTTTTTACATGCATTTAAAAGTGCTCATAGTAACCTGCCCTTAGAGTACCATTTAAAATTATTACATGCATGTATATGCATTTAGAAATGTCATATAAATGCATGTTAAACAAAAAAGAAAATAATTAAGCTGCTTTCCATTAAAAACTCCATGTCTGTTTATTTACATGTTCGATGTACAAACAGTTCTACCTTATCCTGCAAATCCTAACTCATTTCAATCCATCTGAAGCTTATTCATAGAGTTAGGATCATGGGGTGAGAGAGCCCTAAAAACAGGGCTTAAAGTGGAACTAACACTCCTATCATTTTCGGCCATGAAAGCTGCCATTGTATCCTTTGTTTGATCATCAACTGTCACGATGCTGCACATGTGAGCTTGGCAGCACAAGCAAATGTCACAGTTAGCATTCCTGGCATGCTGGGAATGTAAATGTTTTTCGTTACTCGTGAGAGATGTACGTTTACCAACATACATCTCTCACTTATGAAACATTTACCCCGGTTCACATCTGTGCAGGTGGTGCCGCTGCAGGACCCACACAAATACTTGCAGCCGCACCACCCACACAGAGGAATGCGGGACTCGCAGGCACGTGCCATTAATTCTAATGGCACATGACCCACAGTGGAAATCACAACCGTACTGGGAACCGAGATTCCGGTGCGGGCTGCGATTTCACAAGTAGTGCAGGGACTTCTTCCCTGCGTGTCCAGGGGCACGGGGGTCCATTCAAATGAATGGGCTCTCCTGCCCACGCAAATTCAAAGCCCGAACAATCGCACAGATGTGAACCAGGGGTTAGAATATATCAGCCAGCTGAAAGACAGGCTCTTTTAACATGGCACAGATGCACAACAGCAGAGTACAGGTACCAGCAATAGCTTGTACCTGGTGAAAACATGTTGTTATAAAACTCCGATGTGTTGCAAATCTCAGTTACAAAAGAGATACATGTTACAAAAAAAAAAAAGACACCTAATCACCAGCATGGCTAGGTTAACCAGTAACAGCATTACAATACAAACCTATTGATAATAATCCCAATTTTGTTAATGAACCACAAAAGGTTTATTATAAAATTGCCAAAAATCAATATTAAAACCAATAATAAATATATAATCCAATACCAGTATAGAATGGGAAATGTAATATCTTATCTCATGATATAATTCATCCTTATATTGTCTTTTTTACAAACGTTACCTTAATTGTAAGATACCTTCATCAATATGTATATACAGACTTAATGAAATGGAGAGGTAGAGAAGAAAAGGAAAAATGGAGAGAGAAAAGAAAATAAAAATGAAGGGAGGGGGGGCAAGGATGCAAAAGGAAAATAAAAGTAACATGAGAGAGGGAAAAGAAAAGGGAAAGGGGAAAAGGGAAAGGAAAGGGAAAAGGAAAGGGAGAAGGAGAAGGGAAAAGGAGAAGGGAAAAGGAAAAAGTAGAAGATATTTGCAATACATTAACCACTTGCCCTCCTGAGGATTTACCCCCCTTCCTGACCAGGCCTCTTTTTGCTACTCGGCGCTGCACTAATTCAACTGATAATTGCGCTGTCATGCAATGCTGCACCCAAACAAAATTTATGTCCTTTTTTTCACACAAATAGAGCTTTCTTTCTGTGGATTTGATCACCTGTGCACTTTTTATTTTTCACGCTATAAACAAAAAAAGACCAAAAATTTTGAAGAAAAACAATATTTTTTACTTTTGGCTATAAAAAATATATAGTAAACTCAAAGTTAGTTATAAATTTAGGCCAAAATGTATTCTTCTACATGTTTTTGGTAAAAAAAATCCCAATAAGTGTATATTGATTGCTTTGTGTGAAAGTTATAGCATCTACAAACTATGGTATAGTACTATGGTATAGATACTGCAATTTACGCCTTTTTTTGCTATACAGCGCTGCGCTAGTTTAATGGATTGCGCGGTCATGCAATACGGTACATAAATTAAATTTATGTACTTTTTTTCACACAAATAGAGCTTTCTTTTGGTGGTTTTTAATCACCTGTGCACTTTTTATTTTTGGCGCTATAACCAGAAAAATTTTGAAGAAAAAATGTTTTTTAAAAAAAAACAATATTTTCTCATTTCGGTCATAAAAAATATCCAAAAAATTAAAATTTCGTCATAAATTTAGGCCAAAATGTATTCTGCTACATGTTTTTGGTTAAAAAAAAATCCCAGTAAGTGTATATTGATTGCTTTGTGTGAAAGTTATAGTATCTAAAAAATATGGTATAGATAATGAAATTTACACAGCTTTTACTTTCTGACTGCCCATCACATTTCTTGAGGTGCTAAAATACCAGGATAGTACAAACACCCTCAAATGACCCCTTTTCGGAAAGTAGACACCCTAAGCTATCTGCTGAGAGGCATATTGAGTCCATGGAAGATTTTTTTTTTTTTCCCCAATTTTCTGGAAAATGCCAAAAACCTTTTTTTTTGGGGTGTCTACTTTCCAAAAAGGGGTCATTTTGGGGGGTGGGGGCATTTTATGCCCAGCATTAGAAGTTTATGCCACACATCATTCACTCTTCTAACCACCTGAAGATCAAGCCTTTTCTGACACTTTTTATTCACATGAAAAAAATCTGTATTTTTTGCTAGGAAATTAATTTAAACCCCCAAACATTATATATTTTTTTAAAGCAGACACCCTAGTGAATAAAATATTGGGTACTACAATTTTTTATGGCACATAGTACTCGCGCAGCGATTTTTCAAATGCAAATTTAAAATAAAAAATACACTTTTTTTACTCTTAATGTACAAAAACACAATATATCGGCCAATTATTTGGTAAAAGATAATGGTATGCCGAGTAAATAGACACTAAACATGACATGCTTTAAAACTGCGCATGCCCCATGCAATGGCGACAAACTGCAAACATTTTTAATATTTTTTTAAAGGCTTTTAAAGCGACTTATGGCGGGACTGCGGCAGACATTTCTACACTGGGGGGGAAACTGACTTGGGGTCACTGACATCCCCAGTGACACCAATACAGTGATCAGTGCAAAAAAAAAAAAAACACGGACACTGTACTAATGGCACTGGGGAGGAAAGGGTTAACATTTTTTAGGTAATGAAAGGGTTAACTGTGTGAGGGGAGTGTTTTACTAGGGGGCGGGGGGGGGGTGTGCTTCACAGGAACACACTGATCCCGAGAGATAAAGTCTTCTCTCAGGTTCAGTGTGCTCTGAACTGACAGCCGTGCTATCTGTCTTTGATTACAGTTAATCACCGGGACCCGGCGGGTAAAGACCAGCCGGGACCCGGTGATGGACACCCGCTGCCGCGATCGGCGGGACGGGTAGGGTGGGCGCGCGAGTACCTGTTTTGCCGAGCGACGTTAAAAGACGGCGCTGTGCGCAGAGGTGCCGCCCTACCGCAGTAGAAACACTGCGGCTGGTTGGCAACCAGTTAAAGAGTTTTGTAACAATATGTTTTCAGAAGATACGAGCTAATGCTCATATCTGGCATCTACTGTAGTGCATCTGTGACATGTCAAAGGAGCCTCCTTTCCAGCTAGCTCAATGTTCTGAATGTTTCATAAGTGACAGATGTAGGTTGTTAAGCCCTGTTTTAAGGGCTCCCTTACCCCTGATCCTCACTCTACCAAATAAGCTGCAGATGGAGTGAAATGCATAAGGACGTGCAGAATTAGGTGGATCGGTTTGTGAATTGGACATGTGAATAAACAGACATGGGGCTTTTAATGGAGAGCAGCTTCAGTGTTTTCTTTTTTGTTTAACAATGGAACCTACAGTGCGGCTAACTACCAATTGGAACCTGCACCCAGAGCCAGAAGCGTGATGGGGGGGGGGGGGGGGGGTCATGTGCTTGGAGCAGAAATAAATATTTTTCAATACATGCACTCACTTCTGCAGGAGCCCATGGTTTTTGGATTGGCAGTGGGATACTCCAGTAACGTTTGAAGCAACTTCAGGACAGTAATTTGACTCTAAGCAGAGTCATTGCACAAGCAAATAGTGGACTGAGCTATATCAGGACACCAAACATAATATCCCATTTGAGCAATGCTGACACTAGCACAAGAGGGGTGGCCGCAGCATACAGCCTCAGGGATCTCTCAAACCAGCCTGTACTCACTCATTGTATTCCCCCTGGATAGTTGGATGCTTCCTTCCAATATCTTCCAGACACCACTCCAGTGATACCAGAGGAAAGTCCCTCAATCAGCACCAACAACTTTCAGCAGAATAGGCCCCTCCAGCTAGTCTAGCTGGGACCCCGTTAAGCAGTACACACATGGCGAGTATGCCCAGAGGAACATCAGTCCTCCAGGCTGCGGTCACCTTCCTCAGGACAAAAGACCCCTCTGTTCTGGGTCTCTGCGTATTTATACACTCTCCCAGCCACCATCTGGGCACATTTTTCCCAGGGATTGGCCAGGGCTGCATAAATATGCAGCTGCTGATTAGACTCTATCTTGTAGAACCTTTCCGGACAGACAGGGGGGAAGCAGTCAACCTGCAGCCAGTGAAACACAGAACAGATGAAAATAATCACATGCAGTTCAACTGGCTGAGTGAGCCCAGAACTAAATTTAACTAACCTAGCACCTATCTAGGAGGTTGCTATACACATACAATGCATAGTAGTCATTGCCAGTGAGAATGAGGCTCAGCAATTTAAAAAGATCTATCTCTCTATGCTGTCCTGCTCTGCCCTTCATCTCTCCAGTCTTGTCAAGGTTAAAAAGCCTCTTAGGTGTAACCAAGACTTGATTCTATACCTTGAGATTTACTTTTCTTTTGATAATAGTTGAGTTTATACCCTTTGTGTACCATCTGTAGCTGTTCTGCATAAATGTCATAAGGCCCATCCTGAAGCAGTTGCCAGTAATTCTGTCTGCACCCATGTGTCCTGCAGTACTTTGGTAATGATACTACTATATATGTTTATTTTTGCATCCATACCTGGATTTAGGTCATTCACTCCTTCTCCAACACTTTCAACTATTCCAGCACCTTCATGGCCAAGAATAACTGGATAATTAATATTACTCATGTCACCATGCAAAGCATGATCATCTGTCCGACATATTCCTGTAGCCACCATCTAAATATGGAAGAGAATCAAACTTCAGTCAGTGCAGACATTTTAGTTTTTGTAATACTTAAGGGATAGTAAAGTGGAGGGGTTTTTTTTTTATTATTAAAATAACAAGCATGTCATAGTTACCTTGCTCTGTGCAATGGTTTTGCACAGAGCAACCTCGATCCTCCTTTTCTCAGTCCCCCGCCGATGCTCCTGACTCCATTCCCCGCCGAGTGCTTCCATAGCAAGCAGCTTCCTCTGGGAGCACTTGTGCATGCTCGCTCTTGAACCGGCTCCGTGTGTTTATAAGAGACACAGAGTGGGGCTCGGCCCCGTCCCCTGCTCCACGTCACTTGCCCTGATTGATATGTGAGCCAATGAGGAGCGAGAGAGCCACGGCTCTCATGCACATCGCTGGATCTGGCTCAGGTATGTAGATAGGAAGGTATCTATAGTTATTTTAAACTTTTTTTTTTTACATTATTTCAGTTGATTTCTGGTTTCTGGCCTAGGCCAAAATTATGTCATACATCCCAGGAGTCTTCCTGGGCCTTTTTTTTGTTTACCTGGAGGAACAGAGGGCTTTCTTGGCCAAGCTAGGGTAGATGGATTCCAGGAAGTAAATGCTACATGAATTATCTGTCCTTACTCAAAATGGCCTCAGCTAGAAATGCTGGGGGCAAGGGGGGGCATTTTCTAAGTGATCTCTAAGCAGAAGACATGGAGGGAAGCATGAAGACATGGAGGGAAGGGTGAGTTTGCTTTAAAAAACAAAAATGGATTATTGAAGTACAGTGAAGGAAATAAGTATTTGATCCCCTGCTGCTTTTGAATGTTTGCCACTCACAAAGAAATGATCAGTCTAAAAATCAAATGGTAGGTGTATTGTAACACTGAGACAGAATAGCAACAAAAAATTAAAAAGAAATGCATGTCTAACAAATAATGCACTGATTTGCATGTTCATGAGGGAAATAAGTATTTTTTATGGTCGATTTCTTTAGAGGGCAAAGCACAGGGAAAACTGTATTGCTGTTGCGAAGGTTAGGTGATGTAAAATCTTTTTAAGACCTGAGAGCAACTCTGTTCCTAAAATTAAAAGAGCAATAAAGGGTTCCCCTATAAACTGTGTCACCGAGTGCCACCCAATACTGGGAAATCATTGTCTGATCTCTCTTCGGAAACCAATACTTCCAGGAATGTAGATTTCCTTGTCCCCACACAGGTTTAGTGGTTGCCCCTGCTGACCCCCATGCAGGGGCGAACTGACAACTCATGGGGCCCCTGGGCAATAGGGGATCATGGGGCCACTGTGTCCTTGCCCAAACTCAAAAAAAGCCTATGAAAAAGGTACCAGGGGCATCTCATGGGGCCCCCTACTGACCCTGGGCCCCTGGCAGTGCCCGAGTTTCCAACTGGTCAGTCCACCCCTGCCCCCATGTCACTACAGGACACAGGGAGGCCATATAATGCCACTTTCAATTAAGCAACCGTTTGCTGAGGAGTTGGCACTTCAACTGTCACCCTTCTTCCAGTAAGCTATTATATATATTTATAGTTTTATTTAGATAATAAACTGTTCAAGCATTAGTGACTGGTATCACTACATACCAGAGATCCACTCTGAGATGTTATGAGGCCCTGTACACCTCTCAAGTAAGTCATCAGGGAACACTCCTAAAGTCATTTCCTTTGATTCTGGGAATATATGTTTCACATTTTGGCACCTTCTATGTGGCTTGACTTCAGCAACATGAAAGGAGTTTCAACTGTGTTTACCAATTATGATAGATATTATGATGTTATGATAGATAGATAGATAGATAGATATTAAGTAATAAATGTAAAAACTTTACCTTAACGCGCACCTCACGAAACCCTGGAGGTTGTACCTCTACTTCTTCAATAGAAAGTGGCTGATGTTTACCCCATGTAACAGCTGCCTTGCATTTTATCACCTTAGAAAAAATTACACATAAGAGATGACACATCAATTATGTTTTGTTAGATTTACTCAATTTGCACAGCTATTATTTAAGTTTGAGATAACCTTTAATACCATTATGATCTTTACAAATGGCTATAACATTGACAGATAATGCTGTTTTGACAGTGTAAGACCAGATTTCCACCTATACTTTTTATCAGGTGCATTTACCCTTGAAATCAATGAAAAAATGATCAGTTAAATCACTATTTATCACATCAATACAAGGCACCATTCCTTCGGCTGACACCAAGAGTGGGGTACTATTCCTTCCACTGACACCAGCGATGAGGCACTATTTTTTCTTCCACTGAAACCAACTAGGGGGGCATAATTCCTCCCAGGGATATAAAGGATTGTGCATTATTCCTCCCAGTGACAAAACAATCCTCCCCTTAATACCAATTATGCAGCACTATTCCTCCTCCCAGTGACCACACTCATTCTTTTTACTCCCGCTGACCTCCAGCCATTTTCTACTACAACTGGCCACAATCCCCCCCCCCCAAAGTCTAAAGGAAACAGGCCCTTCATTTTTAAGACCCCTGAGATAAATCAATGAAAAACATGAAAAAGGTGTGTTACTGTGCCTGTCAATGCTTGTAGCAGTGCTGTTTGAACAAGCGTTTCAGTCAATACATGTGTGTATAGGTGTGAATCTGGCCTAAAAAAACATCAATGCATGGAGGGAGACAGGTTTTCCTTTGCAGTCCTTAAAATTCTAGTAGCCTGGTAAATATGCTGATCCTCTGCCAGTGACCTGGGATAAATACAGTATGTAGCAAGTAAAGTCAGATTCTTGTAACTAAATGAGTGTCCTGGATCAGTGACTCACAGTACTAAAGCCATTATTTGTGTATAACAGCCAGACAGCTAGCATTTTCAGAGCGAGGTCATCAGTGACAGCTTCCATATTTCTCTCGGCTTTAGGGCTCATTCAGATCTGTGTGTTTTGGTAAAATGCCTAGAGATCCTTCAGTTAATTCAAGGAAAAGGTACACACCCTTGAAGGTCAATGCTTGCAAAAATAAGTCAACATGGACAAAAATGAATGTGTCGATCTATATATATATATATATATGTGTGTGTGTATGCATAGGTGTGAATCTGTCCGAAAGGAAGGGATACAGGCTTTCATTTGCATTCCTAAAAATTGTAGCAGCCTGGTAATTATGCTGATCCTCCAACTTTGATGTTTTCTGACAATGATCTGGAATAAGTATGTAGCCAGTAAAGTCAAACTTCTGGAACTGAATTAATGCCCTGGATCAGTGACTCCAGAACTAAAGCTATTAGATGTGTATGACAGCCAGGCAGCTAGCATTTTCAGAGCAAGGTCAGCAGTGGCAGCTTCCATATTTCTTTTGGCATAGATATGTTTTCAGATGTGTGTGGTTTGGTAAAATGTGTGTTTTAAGCATGTTTACTCTCAATGCTTGTAGCAATGCTGTTTGAACAAGCGTTTCAGTCAATATATGTGTGTATAGGTGTGAATCTGGCCTAAAAGACGTCAATGCATGGAGGTCAACTCAACACACCTAGGCAGATGTCAACCCTGTGCTTTGTGGTGCACTGCATTGAATAAAATGCTACATGTCTTTTTAAAAATGAATTATTTTGCCCTGGGCTATCAAAATGTACACAAAATATTGCATTTTAACATATGTGCATTGATGATCGTAGCAGTATGAATGGGCTGATCTGTCATCTCTGCAAACGACTCCTCTGCCTGATCATATGTTATCAGTCACTATATAATTAAACTGTGCAATCATTATTGGACAGCTATCAACTTCAGCTGATTCTCAATGCAGTAATTAACAGCTCTTACTTTTCCTGTATGATCCATTGTTATAGCAAAGCTTCGCTATCAGCAGCAGCACAACTAGTAAGCCTATTCTGTACACAGTTCCACTTCCGAATGAAACACATGATCACAGTCACATGATTAAAAAGCCAGCAGCTGCTGTGAATGCTGTCCTTAGTACTTTGTCTCACTACAGACCAAAGCTTTTCAGCTCAATTAACACGTTATACTAGATATAAACCACCCACCTAGGATATAACTGGTACGGTGAGTTGTATACATCATGCTAAGCTGACAAAGTTAACGCACTAGGCTACAGATCCTTATTTTCAAGCAATATAATTTGCAAATCTTCAAATAAAACTTTCTCTTATGTGGAACATTTCCTATATATTATTACAATGTACAATAAATATCTTTTTATAAGTTTTGGAAACATTCCAACATAAGAAAGAGGAAAAAAATGCTTTGCATAACATTTCCCCCTGATATTGAACTGTAAGTAGTATATATATATATATATATATATATATATATATATATATGTTTTTTTATTAAATAATAAAATTATGTTTCTGATACAAAGAATGATGATCGTATTGAAAAATTAAATAGAGATGAAAAAATGCATTTAGCATAATTTTTAAATGCAACGATAATAAAAAAATCTGAAATGAACAAAAGTGAAAAAAGTTTACATACGTTTAAATATTGTGGAGGAAAGAGGTAAGTAACAACTATTTTCACAGTTGCAAGCTTTTTTTTTTATGCAGGAGCTGTCAACACATGCGCATTAAGGTCAAGGGCGGACTGACCATTTGGAAACTCGGGCACTGCCCGAGGGCCCGGGGTCAGTAGGGGGCCCCATGAGATGCCCCTGGTACCTTTTTCATAGGCTTTTTTGAGTTTGGGCAAGGACACAGGGGCCCCATGAGTTGTCAGTCCACGCCTGATTAAGGTACAGTTTTCACATGCATTACTTAATATCTATCTATCTGTCGTAACAGTGCAAAAAAAAAAACCTTATCTCATGTTGATTCAGCACTGTGTACAAAGGAGAGTGCCAAGCTGTCAAGCTGATAGCCAAGTAATGCAGCTGTCAATTTGACACACAATCCTTATACCAATTCATTCCTCAAGAACCAGTTTGCATCTTTGAAAACCAGCTCTGTATGGGGTAAAATGGTAAAGTGGGAGCAATTTTGTTAATTGGTAAAAATAAACTATTACCACTTCTATTAATGAAAGCCTTCCTAATTTACAGCATTTTTTCACACCTGCCTAAGACTTTTGCACAGCACTGTACATTTTGAAGGGTATAAAACCCTGTCTGTGGTGGTGAACAAGGCTAGAGAACCTGTTCCAGCACATCTCTCTACTAGATCACATCTCCTAGACCATTTTTACATCTGATGTTAGTCATCTAGGTTGAGCAGCTTTTGTGGGGACATTATGGTCCAGAGGAGTTTCTACCCTCAGAAGGCATAGTCTATAATATTCTGGAACTCTAGCATACTTAGAAGGCTTGGAAACATCTATCTTCACTGCTAAAGCACAAGGCTATATTGCTACAAATGCTGTGGATAGTCAGTGAGGTTTGCAGAGAAAAACGCTTTTACAAGAAGCGAGTCCTATTTTCTCTTGGGCAGAGAGGAACCTTTTCAGGGAGGTGACATTCCTACCTCAGAATGTGCATATCATACCTATCAAGGTATTTTGTGATTAGCAAAGAATAGTCTCTGAGCCCACATCTTATTTTTCCACTAGCATCTTATTAACTGCTAAAACCAATGGCCACTACTCAGTACAGACCTTCCTGCTGCATTGGACATAGTCCAAGGTACTCATCCTTGAGAAACTTCATTCCCCTGGTCTCCATGCCTCTGAGATTTCCTTGTTCTCATCCTACATTCTAAGTGCTCCTTTTAACTCTACCTTTTCCTTTGCTACCTTTTTGAATTGTTTCCAATACCATCATTATGATGACAATATCCAAATCTATCTCTTCTCAGCTCACCTCTTTGTTCCCCTTGCACTTCAGCTCCCCTCCCCATAACCATGTGCACCTTACCCAGACTTTTCAATAACACCAGGGCTTTTTTTCAGCTGGAACATGGAGGATCACAGTTCCGGCATCTCAAGCACTCAATATATGTAATGGCAAGGGGTGTTTGAGGGTCTATCGGTGCTAGCTGCTGTGGGATCTATTGTTGCTGGAGGGGATCTGTTTTTGTCTAGGGGTCTATTGTTGCTGGGGAGAAATCTATTGTTGCTGGGGGGGTTCTCTTGTTGCTGGAAGGTAAGATGTTGCAGGGGGAAATCTTTGGACGTAGATGTCTATTTATGCTGTCTGCAGGAGGGTCTACTGATGCTGGCTGCTGGGAGATCTGTAGCTGGGGTGCTATTTTGTTGTGATTGCCCTATTTTTGATGGGTGTTCTATTGTTGTGGGTGAATCTATTGTTGCTGGGGGATCTATTGTTACTGGGGGGGTATTTTGTTCCTGGGGAGGGCATCTATATTTGCAGGCTACAGGTGATCTATTTTACTGCTTTTCTTGTTATAAACAAATTCCAAACAAAACGCCACAAAATGATACTTGGTTCTGTATTCTCTAAAAGGGGTGGTACTTGGAGGTGGTTAGAGGGTGGAACCTTCAAACAGTGTTTGGAGGTGGGTGGAGACAAGGGGTAACTTAGAAGGGGGGAGTTTGTACACCTATTTTCTGAAAAAGCCTTGGATAACACATCTATACATCCCGTCATTTATACCACGGTGCCAGGTGCAATCCTGGACTCCAACCTATCTTTTCAGCAACATTTAATCACTATCCAAGTTTTGCACCTTCACAATTGTAACATTGTCAAAAACACCTTCTTAACTGACAGTACCAATGTACAAATTCACTCACTTGTTATCTCTCACCTTGACTACTGCAATTTGCTCCTCAATGTTCTAGCTCTACAAGGGCTTCAGTCTATCATAAATTCTGCTTCCAGATCCATCCATGTTACCAACTACGCAGTGTCTGCCACTCCTCTCTGCCAATCCTTCCACTGGCTTCTGATTTCCCAACATATTTTCAAAATATTATCAACTTTCAAAGTCATCCTCTATTCTTCCCCCAGCTAAATCACTAACCTCATCACAAGGTAGCAACAAAACTGTCCTTTTAGTTCTTCCCAAGACCTTCTGCTC